GCTCTCACTATTTCTAAAACAACATTTTTATGTCTTATTCTTTCATCTTCTGGAAACTCATTTTGGCGTACATTAGACAAAATAAAAATTTTATCTTAATGGTACTTTTCATATGTTTAAGATTGTTCCACAGCTTCTGGATTCTCTGTTCTACCTTTCACCTTGGATAATTTCTCTTGGTTTGCCTTTAAGTCCACAGAATCTTTCCTGAGTGTATCCAAGACATTTTTTTGCTTGTTGCTATTGTGGGATTTTTCATACTGTAAATTTCATACTGAAATTTCCTGCTGATCTCATACATTTTCACCTTTTCCATTAGAATTTTAAAAGTCATAATCATAGTTATTTTAAAATCACTGTCAGATGATTTTAACATCTCTGTCATATGAGAGTCTAGTTCAGGTTATAGCTTTGTTTCTTAGTAATATGTTATTCCTGTCTTGCTGTTCTGTTTGCCTTAGAAACATGTGTCAAATATCTTGTATCTTGTATTGGACAGTGGAAGCAGACAAATGGATTGTGTGCCTGTAATAGCCATGCCCCCTGGTTAGGCTCTTAATGTGGGGATGTGAGTTAGTCTAGTGCAAGTCTTGTTGGATTTGCAGCTTATTCATTATTGTCCCATATGCCTATCAGTGAGCCACATGCTTTAAACTTCTCTAATACTTTTCCTTAGGGTGGCAGCTGGTTTCCCTGAAGGTTATTTATTTATTTTCCCCCTTTGGTTAAGACCTTTTGTTTGTATTGCATGGCCTTGAGAGGGTTTGTCTCTTGCCCTTACAGCTCTCCTATTAGTTTCCCATTGTACTTCGTGGTGCATGTTAGCAGCCCTGTGGGTCTGAATCTTGAGGTCTGGCCTTTTCAGAGCTCTTGTTTCTCTACCTTTAATAGTGCAATGAGAAGGTTTTCCCTTTCCCTGGCTGCAGTGGGCTTTGTGCTGGTGACTAAACGTGGCAATGCTTGCAGGTAAGAGTTCTGTTCTGTAGGTGAGACAAGGCAGATGGCTTAGACTGATCGTGTAGGTGCTCACTACAGGTGCTGCTCTACTCTTCTTGGTCTGCACAGAGGTTCCCTGAACTCTCATCCAGCTGTTTTAATTACCTAATAAAGTCTGTGGAGAAAAGCTGCAGGACATGATAAAGCTTCCCTTACAAATATGACTCCCAGAGGCTCCACATTCTCTCATGGGTCCACACTCAATATCCTTCGATTTGTCTCTCATTTTTTTGGGGGGGGGGTCTGGTTGTGGGGCCTGAACTCTGGGCCTGGGCACGGTCCCTCAGCTCTTCAGCTCAAGGCTAGTGCTCTACCACTTGAGCCACAGTGCCACTTCTGGGTTTTTTCTTTTTGCTTATGTGGTGCTGAGGAATCAAACCCAGGGCCTCAGGCATTCAAGACAAGCGTTCTACCACTGAGCCACCTTCCCAGCCCATATCCTTTGATTTGCAACTCTTCTAACCAAATTCTAACATCCCTAGGTATGTTTGCCCCTGTAGAAAAGCACTATTATTCTTCATAGGTACCTTTCTCAGATTTTAGATTATTTTATTGTCTTATGACTTCACTTCTCAAGTGTTTGAGAAAACTCTAACACTGTGCTTTTGTTGCTGTCATTGTGAGGGTGCGTGTAATGTTCCTTGGTACAAAGAACTTTTAGTCTTGTTGATTTATACTATTTTATTTTTTCGTGTGTGTGTGTGTGTGTGTGTGTGTGTGTGTGTGTGTGTGTGTGTGTGTGTGTGTGTATGTCAGTGCCAGGGTTTGAAATCATGGCTTTATGTTCTCATTGGACTTCCTTGCTCATGGCTGGTGCTCTACGCCTTGAGACATGACTCTAGTCTAGCTTTTCACTGGTTAATTGGAGTCAGAGTCTCTCAAACTTTGCTCCCTGGGCTAACTTCTAATCATGATCTTCCAGATCTCAGCTTTCTGAGTGGCTGGGATTATAGATATGAACCCTTGGTGCTCAGCTGGAGCCAGGTGCTTTATCTAGCCACTTCTCAGCCATTTAATTTTTTTAAATATGATAGCTGTGTCTTCAGACTTAAAGTGTGTTCCATCTCTATTCAGCATTTATAATAGTGAATCTGCTATCTTCTACAGTTTGGTAAGAGAGTCTGTGCTGGGAATGGTTACCACAGTCATCTAGGAGCTGAAGAACTCTTTGTAGAACTTCAACCAATGTCTTGTTCACTGGCTTGTTTAGAATTATCTAGTATTCTGATTCCAGAATGTTTCTTGATTCTGTGTGAGAACTTTTTTTCTTATTGATTTTTCTTTATTCATGTCATAAATCGAAGTTTCAAATCCTTCCAGTCTTCTAAGTCAATTACTGCTTGCCCATATGTTCAAAATTTAGTTAACTCTACTTCTGTCTTTTAGTGTGTTTAATCTTCTGTTCTTTTTCTGATCATTTTAGCTGAGATTTGGGTAGAAAGTAATGATAAATCTTATTTGATTTCTGTTCCGTCTTAAAATAATACCTATTAATTTATATTTATCTGTTTTAAATTAAGAAGCCTCATAGGTTAAACAAAATACAATTGTACCTCCCCCATGCCACTTCAGTCTGCAAAGATACATCCTAAGACTGCCAATGTATACCTGAGCCACAGATAGTATTGAACCCCAGAAGCTGTACATTTTCCTAGATATACATATGGCTGATCTTAGGAGGTAATAAATGGGCGGTAGCTGAGGTAGGGATGATACACTAAATAAAAGAATGGTTCAAATCTGGGTGGCACAGAGTTGGACGCTTCAAGAGGTTATCATGTCATTTAAAACAGTAGAAACTTTAAAACTTAAGAATTATTTCTGGAGTTTCTTATTTAATGTTTTTGGACTGTAGTTTGCTGTGGGTAATTAAAATAACAACATGAAACATGCTCAGGTGTCACTCTCATCTTTTTCAAACTTCAATTAGTAGTGCTTTCACTAAATCATTTATGAAGAGGTGTCAAATGACTAAATGTATGACTGAATGAAAATACCAGCTTGATAATCAATCACCTTTGCGCCATGTAAAGGCAGTTTCTCTAGCCATTGCTTCTTTTTTACTTTTTCTTTCCTTTAGCAATGGCTAGGAGTGAGAGCAGGGAAAGACTTACCAGCTCTTTTAATGTAATATGTTTATTTTGTTCCTATGTTGTAAAATAGTTGCTCAGAATAAAGAAACTCAAGGACGGCACCCAGGCCCTGAGTTCAAGCCCCAGGGCTGGAAAAAAAGAATAAAATATTTGCTCATAATAGACAAACGTCCAGTGTTGTCCCTTCTATACTTGTCTCAAAGAGGCGTGAGTTAAATTAGCCCAGCAGGATGGGGCTGGGAGAGACAGTGGAGAATGATGGGGGTAATACTAAGACACAAACTGACATGTTTAATTGAAACCCCTTTGGGCAAATACTTAAAGATATGAATAAAGGCCCTAGCAAATACTTTATTCCTTCTTCCTGTCAATCCTAGAATTTACTTCAGAATTTACTTCAGACCACTTTATTGTCTTGCTTTGCTTGAGAGCTTGATTTTCTAACATTGAGGTTACTGAATTCATGTTCTGAAAGACAGTATCTTTCTCTCACTACACAATCCAGTACACAATGGAATATGTGTGAAACTACTCACACTTGCTAGTCTTAAAAAAATTTGCAAATAGAGCTTGTGCTTTACCCTTAAAAAATTGCCTATGAGGCTAAATTTCTATATTAATTTTGCATTTCCAATCATCTATGGCCAACAGGCTTAATCACAATTTGATTGGATATTTTTGGCTGTTGCTATGTCTCCAATATAGTGGGAAAGCTCTAAAAAATTTATCCAACATCTTAGAGGAAAATAAGGGTTTAGGACTAGTATTCTCAAGAAGGGAAACTTCCTGGAAAAAGTTTTGTGCATGCTAGAGAAAAGTCAGGGGAACAAAAAGACTAAAAGTAACAGCTATGAAGTAAGATTAAAGGGCTTCGAGTTATTTAGTCTGAATTCTGATGAGATAGCTAGATAGATTCGATTAGATCGATCGATCGATCTCGATAGATAGATGCTATATAGATCAGAACATAGTAAGCAGTTGCTGTTCATCTTTGCTGAAATCCGAAAAGGAAAAAAAAAAACGTTCCACAGCCGAGGTGGCCCAGGCCCTACCTCCAGGCAGAAGGTTGAAGTTGACTTCTCCTGGACCCTTCCCTGAGCACGCTTGTGTTGCTGGCCCTCAGCTACAGAGCCTGAACTGAGAGCACAGCCAAGTATGTGTCCTCTGAGAAGCTCCTGCAGAGCCAGAGACAGCAGCGCCACCAGCAGCGACCACAACAGCATCTACTCCAACTGAGGACTTCATCCAAAGGTGAGTGAGGTCAGCGTGGACCTAGGCCCTCCCGGTCCCCGCTTCCCCGGCTGGCACGGAGTCAGAGCCCTGGAGCCCCGGGGTGGGGGTGGGGTGGGGTGGGGAGGGACTCCCAGCCACCGCGTCTCCCTCCTCTGCACCAATATAATTCCTGGCACAGGTTGGAACAACCCATGTCTGGTTAGCTGGTGCTAGTTGGGAGAGACCCGCTTTAGGAGGGACGAGCCGCGCCCACAATGATCTGATGGGGTGCAGGGTGTGTATGTGTGTGTGTGTGGGGGTGTCCCCTCTTTCTCACCATTCACCGGGTGGGTGCCAGTCCCTCGCCTCGCTCTTGCCGCCCCTCGGCGGGCGGGAGGGTCTGTGTGTGAGGTGAGGGTCTGGTCCTGGATCCCGAGCCGCCCCAGGCTGGCGCGGCGGCAGCCACAGCCTGCGCGGGAGGCAGGGAGGCGGGAGGGCGCTGCGGGGGCTGCGTGGAGGGAGGGAGGGACCGAGGGAGGGGAGGGGCGGCGGGAGGAAGGCCCCCCGCCGGGCCTCTCTGGGCGGGCGGTGACTCGGGGTTCCCCCTGAGCGTCCCCCCCCCACCCCTCGCCCTCCCCTTCCCGCCCCGCCTCGCTCCCGCCACCCCCCCCCCTCCCCGGGGCGCGCGGGAGCCGAGCCGCAGCCCGGGCGCGGCGCCGCCGGTGGGTGTGCGCGTCCGCGCGGGACGCCAGCTCTCTCCGTCCTGCGTTCGCAGGCGACGGCGGGCGGCGGGGCTCCGAGCTCGGGCAGAGGCGGCGGCGGCGTCTTCTGGAGTCCCGAGGCGAAGATGCTCAAAGTCACGGCGCCCTCCTGCTCCGCCTCGCCCTGCCCTCCGGCCACCTCCAACGCGGCCCCGGGGGCCGGGAACCTCATCCCGGATTACTGGATCGACGGCTCCAACCGGGATGCGCTGAGCGATTTCTTCGAGGTGGAGTCGGAGCTGGGACGGTAAGACGGGCGGCGGGGCGGGGGACGGGCGCGCGGGCGCGGCGCGGGCGCGGCGCGGGCTGGGGATGCGCGCGGCGCGCACCTGCTCGTCCCCCCGGCGGGTCCCTCCTCTCCCCGCCTAGCTGGGGTCTGGGCGTACACCCGGGCTTGCCTCCGAGCTCCGGGCGCGCAGGCCTGGGCCAGGCGGCCCAAACCCAGACCCTCCCTCCCTCCCGCGGCCGCCGCTCCACGCACAGCTCTCGCCGCACGTGGGCTCTGCTTTCCTGATCCAAGTCAGGCTTCCAGCCGGCCACGGAGGGGTCCTGCGTGTCTGGTTAGGCTTGCTCTTCTCCTTCTCTTCTCTTCTCTTCTCTTCCCTTCCCTTCTCTTTTCTCCTCTCCTCTCCTCTCTTCTCTTCTCCTCTCCTCTCTTCTCTTCTCTTCTCTTCTCTTCTCTTCTCTTCTCTTCTCTTCTCTTCTCTTCGGCTTGCTCCTTCTCTTCTCTTCTCTTCTCTTCTCTTCTCTTCTCTTCTCTTCTCTTCTCTTCTCTTCTCTTCTCTTCCCTTCCCTTCCCTTCCCTTCCCTTCCCTTCCCTTCCCTTCTCCTCTCCTCTCCTCTCCTCTCCTCTCCTCTCCCCCATCTCTCCTTCCTGTTTTTCTTGAGTGAGGGTCGTAGGGGGCCCCTCCCAATCATGACATTATTAAATTAGATCCTTCCGTGTTCATCCACCTCTCCAAAAGCAAGTGGCACTAGAAATTAAACTTAAATACCAGCTTCCCTGCAGAGCGAAGGGAGGAATGAATCATTGAAGAGAGTTAAAGGCAGAATAATGAAGTAGCCTGGCTTTAAAGGGAAAGCGGCACAGGAGGGTCCAGGGCGGTGGTAATTAGTGAGAAGGCTGCTGCTCTTCTTTCATGGTCTGGAGTGATTTATTTAAATGATATATGCAGAGAACTGGCTCCCTAGGGAAGCTGACAAGTCCCTCATGCCTGGGCTGCACATCCAAACAGGTAGCAGTTTCGGCCTTGTGATGATTAATTCCACATGTCCTAATGTTTTATCCACTCAATTATTGTTTTCCCTCTTCGCTTCCTTCCTCTTGTCCTTCTTTCTTTTCCCTCTCATCCAGAGGCAAGGGAAACTTGTTTCCAATAGTCAGTTTAATTGTAGGGTTTATTTATTATTGGGAATCTGAAGGTGTACTTTCAACGATTAGCAGGTTGTAACTTCTTTGCAAGTTCATATGTCATCCTCTTTTTTTCTGGAACTACTTTAGTCGGAGTCGTTTACAAAAGGTCTTTCATGACCAGAGAGCAGGATTCTGGATGTGGGCGCACCCAGTGGGCAGGTGGACAAGGGTCAGTGCCTTCTCTCTAATTTGCTATTACTATGAAAGCTCATTGAGTACAGATTTTGGGCAAACGTGCAAAGCTTCTCAATGAAAATGTAGTAATTGGTTACTCAAAATATTTGAGTATGGGATAACACATCCTTGGACTTCCGTTTATTTATTTAGTTAATGTATGCGGGTCCTGGGGCTTGAATTCAGTACCCAGGTGCTGTCTCTGAGTGTTGTATTGCGCAAGGATAGCACTCTACCACAGCTTCATTTCAGGCAGTTTGGTAGTTTATTGGATATATGAGTTTCATTAACTTCCCTTCCCGGGTTAGCTTTGAATCATGACCTTCAGATCTCAGTCTCCTGATAACTCAGGATTTCACAAGTGAGCCATAGGCGCCAGGCATAGACATCCATTTTTAAATCAAGTTCCCCCCCCTCCCCCTCATCTGTTGTAAGTAGCTTGAAAGGAAATAACAATGAAATGTATGTTGGGGAGAAGTTTGTATTGCAGTGGTGCAAACTTCTGATTAAAGAGATGATCTACTTAAAACTGTTTACGTGGTGTTTCAGAGGAAGTCCCTGCTGAGGCTGCAGAGACTGTCCCAGTAGCAAATCTCAGTGCCTTCAAGTGACACTGGGTGCTCTAATTGGTTCTGCCCTACTATCAATGAACATTGCTGTCTTTAAGATTTGCCATCAAGAAAATGCATTGGATTTAGTAGAAAAGTGGGTAGAAGAAAATGAACTTTCATTTGTACACACATTAAGGGATGATGAACTCCACAGGGAACACCTAAGGGCTTCGAAGGATTTTTTTCTTTTTTTAATTTAAGGTGATGTTACACGTTGAAGCAAAGTTTTCGTGACAAAACCTATTTTATGTTGCTAAGTCTCTAGTCTTGATTATCTTAAGATCACCAAGTTAATAGATTTTGAGAAAAAGTTAAAAACCTGTACTTTGCTGCTTTTCCCCAGTAACATGTATTCTTATGTGAGCGTGCTCTGCAGATGGCAGTGTGGTGAATATAATCTCACCTATTTGGTTAACCCTTTGAGAAATGTTATCCCTCATCATCATCATTTTTTTTCAACAAAATCAAATGTAAAATTAAACTGGTACTCATTATTCATAATTTACAAAGAAAGCCAAAGAGTGCAACAGAACTGTCGTGGTAGATGTACCCTTCCTTCCTTTTTTTTTTTGGGTACTGTCGTGGGGTCTGAACTCTGGGCCTGGGCGCTGTCCCTCAGCTCTTCAGCTCAAGGCTAGCGCTCTACCACTTGAGCCACAGCGCCACTTCAGGCTTTTTTTCTTTTTTGGTGCTGAGGAATCAAACCCAGGGCCTCATGCATGCAAGGCAAGCGCTCTACCACTGAGCCACCGTCCCAGCCCCCTACCCTTCCCTCCTTAATCCATTACAAGTCTTTTCTCTCATTCTTGGTCAAAGCCTGTCAGTGGTGACTAAGGCAAACACACTTAATTCATTAGGACATAGCAGTCATTAAATGCTAAAAGCATAGTGCTTCTGGTGATGTCTGGTGCCCTTGTGGTTGGCTCCAGAGTGTAGACAAGCCCCCACAGATTAAGTTAATTGATGAGTTGTAGGTTCTTCTGTTGCAATTGTCTGTTACAAAGCAGTGGCTCCTGAATTCAAGAAGATTAGACTTAACCGCCATTTGGGCAACACACCCTCAAAGGAACTATATTTCCAAGGCTGTTACCATCAGGAAAGCCTTAGATGGTGCTCCTAAAGTCCTACGTTCACAGCACAGATGCACAGGCACCCCAGACCAGCATGGAGATTATTTTACTGGATTTGGGTTGTTTTAAAAAGTCAGGCAAACTGATTTTTCTAAAAACACGTTTGAAAATACCGAATTTCTTAGAGAGTTTGTCAAAATGGTTATAAAAATCATGATACACTAACAGATTCCATTCTACTTAAAAATATGAATTGGCCAGAATCCTATTCAGGGTTGCAGATTCTAGAGAGCAGTTGGCCTTTTGCCCAATGCAAATATGAGAAGTGGCTTTAAAGGCTTTTCTAATGGAGAAAGAAGTCTGCATCTGGAATCAATTCTGCCCAGTGGCTTGCCACATGGAATAACCACATTGACATAGCCTGCTTTGTGGTAAGGATTTGACTTACTACCTCTAAGCCCATGTTCTGTTTTTATTATGTCTTACATTACAAAATGTTTCTATCTATAACATTGTTTATGTCTGTGACAAAAGAAGACTGGGCTGAGTTATTTTGGAGTTTTTTTGGCATGTTATTATTATCATTATTATTAGTTTCTATTCCACTTACTGAAGTTTCTTTAGGCGAATGACCTTTAGAACCCACTCCCTCCAACTTGATTAACAATTAAAAAATACACTTACGTGACAACTCAATTGGAGCATAATTATATAAGAACCCTAGTTATAGACACTATTGCTTGTCAACTAGATAGATTTAGATAACGAAACATGTGTGGAACTGTGTGAGACAATTTAATAAAATCCTGCTTATTCTTAATACTGTCGATGTACTCTAATATTATTCTACTCTGGGCCGATTTATTATTTTGTTTTATGAAGCAAATATTGGCTGAACTCATGTGATTTAACATCCCACTAATGGATTGTGACTCAGTTGGAAAATTCTGTTTTAGGCCATAAATCTGTTTATGACAGATTAAACAACAAGGCAGAACCCTTTAAAAAAATGTCTTGCAGACTAATTGGCAACATTGGGTAGTGTCTATTTGTCGTAGCTCTGTAGAGAAAAAAATTTTCCCATTTTTGCCTCCATGAGCAGCTCTCACCCTATGGGAATTTTGGAAAAGATCTACTTCACATGGTGGAATATGGACTGACTAGAGACAGGTGTGAGGGTTGTGCTGGGAGCAGCCTCCCTGAAGAGGAAAGGAACTAGGAGTCCCGAAAAGCCATGTGTGCCAACAGCAATATACTCCCCTGACCCAGATAATCATCAGCAAGTGTTTCTCGTGAAGAAACATGGAAAGTCAGCATTCTCTAAGAGAAGGGCTATGGCCAGTGCACTTGGCTTGCCACAGAATTCTTGCTCTGGGTGGTTTTAAACAATAGTCATTAGGTTCTCACTGAGGAGAAGCTGAGAAGTTCAACATCAAGATGCTAGCTGATTCATTTCCCCGGTGAGGACCCTCTTCCGCTCTTGCTGATACCTTTCTGTGTCCTCAGAAGATACAGAGAAGGCCAGGGTGGGAGAGAGGAAGAGGGGGAGAGAGAGACACAGAGAGAGAGAGAGAGAGAGAGAGAGAGAGACAGAGACAGAGACAGAGACAGAGACAGAGAGACAGAGAGAGACAGAGAGAGAGCAATCTCTTACCTCATTTTATAAGAGCATAACTTCCACAACAAGCTCATGACCTGATCCTAAACAGAATTATCTCCCAAAGGCCTCATTAGAGGTTACAACTCAAAGTACTTTTTTTTTAGTGTGTGTGTGTGTGTGTGTGTGTGTGTGCACGTATGTGGTGAGTCACAATTCAGGCCACAGCATGGTTGGTGAAGAATCAGATCTTTTTTTTCCCCTCCTTTCTTCTTCTTTCTCTTTAGTCAGCCACCTTCCTAGACCTTCTCTTGACTGTTAACACCCACAGTCTATCCAGAGTAGAGGACTGGCCACTCATCCTGCTGCACACACTATCTT